GCATTCTGACACTATTTTTCTCCATAGTTTATTGGGGCTTGCAAGGAACCTGTCATGGTCATTGTTACCGAGCTTCTGCTTGGTGGTACGCTGCGAAAATTTTTGTTGAACATGCGACCGAGGTGTTTAGATATGCGAGTTGCAATTGGATTTGCGCTTGACATAGCTCGTGCAATTGAATGTTTACACTCGCATGGAATCATACATCGTGACCTTAAACCTGGTAAGAGTTTCAATAACTCAAGCGGACCTGAAAGACTACAAAGAGCAAGAAAATAAATAAATGGTGTAGTCAAACCTGCAATAAATGGGTCTAAGACTGGGTAATGACTAAAGTGTGAAATACATTCCACTCGGAAAGGAATTTCATTATACAGAAAAGAAAGATATGCTATTTTTTGTTTGATGATTAAGAAAATATATTCGGATGCATACCATTGTTGTTATATAGTGTTTTGTAGGAAGATGTCCTCTTTAAACTATTTACTATATTTATTCCAGTTGTTGCACAAAAAGTGATTAGCTTATTTTCAGAACTCGGGATTATACAATACTACGGAAATTCTCTCTGTCCTGATTGATGAATTAATTAACCAATAAGGGGAATACAGTTTGCGCATTTTACAATGTATGCAAGGCACCAATATGTGAATGTGATGAAAAAAGCTTGGATTTAGTTGGTTGCGTTGATGTCTGGAGCTGAGATCACATGTCTTGCACTATACTTATGAATTTAGAATCAATTATTATCCTTTTTGGTGAAAAGCTTTTCTCAGTTTCTCACACAAGATCTGTTTTGAAAGAAACATGGAAAATAATATCTGTAGAAAAATTGTCTTCAATAAGTGAGCAAAACTTTTTGTTTACTGATCTTGCTTTCAGACCTGTATCACCTGTTTGACAAACATTTAAAAAAGATTTTTTGGGAAAATGACTTTTGGAATAGTGATTTTTCGGAGAATCTGTGGTTAAAAAGTAGGAAAAATTTGGGTTTTATGTGCAAAATATTTTATTGTGGGAATGTGAGGTTGAAAATGAATTTGAGAAAAGAGTTGAGAAAATGTTGGGGAAGTACAGAATGGATTAAAGATGTGCAACAGTATTGTTGTTTTATGATCCCTGTGTTAATCTTTCCTCTTCACCGAAACTATCTAATCCACTTGTAAATTTTTTTCTTTCCTCCAGAAAACTTGCTCTTGACAGCAGACCACAAAACTGTTAAGCTGGCTGATTTTGGTTTGGCAAGAGAAGAATCATTGACAGAGATGATGACTGCCGAGACTGGAACCTATCGCTGGATGGCTCCAGAAGTAGTTCGATTAACCTTTGTTCTTCTTATTTCTTTTTCTATTTTTGTTTTTTAAATCAACAGGATTGCTGAAAATCTCTTCCTTTTTTGGCTAATGGTTGCAGCTTTATAGTACAGTCACCCTTCGTCATGGAGAGAAGAAACATTATAACAATAAGGTGGACGCTTACAGTTTTGCAATTGTGTTATGGGAGCTCATACATAATAAGTTGCCTTTTGAAGGCATGTCAAATTTGCAGGCGGCCTATGCTGCTGCTTTTAAAGTAATTCCCTTCTCTTAAATTGTTTAATATGTTGGTAGCCTCAAGTCAATAAAATGCGAGTTTTTCAATACATTGGCCTAATAGGTAGAAAAGATGCTAGCCTTGTTTGAGGTTATGTATGAAAGACATCGGAATGAGGATATTCACCACAACGTTGGGGATTCTTCTTGCTACACTGCCCCCGCTTCCATTGCCTGGCTGCCTCATCTCTATTTTTTACCCCCTCACTTGACGATTCTAAAGATAACTTTGTTTATGCAACTGAAAGACTTCATTGAGTTTTTTAAAAAGCCACGGGTATAGGGGCTGTGTATTGTAGTTTGTTATTTGTTACTTCAAATTTGTACCTTCCTTCTCAGAATGTAAGGCCAAACGCTGATGATCTTCCTGAGGATTTGGCTTTAATTGTGACTTCATGCTGGAAAGAAGATCCAAATGAGCGTCCCAACTTCACTCAGATAATACAGATGCTTCTGCATTCTCTCTCAAGAATTTCACCACCAGAACCCGTTGAACCACCCAAGATTTTCACTTCCAAGAATGTCGTCTTCCCACCAGCATCTCCAGGCACAAGCGCTTTGATGGCAGGGAGAGATGACGATGGCGACACACCAATGGAAAACAATTCAAGAGGATTCTTCTCCTGTTTTCACCAGTGCTACTAATCTCTATGCATATTTGTTATATACTGGTCAAGACGGGACAATATTAGTGGGCAAGATTTTAGCTTCCTTTTTCTTAGATAATGGAGTTTAGGTTGCTGTGATGTATTGTAGCTGTAAAATAAGGTCCATCCAAAGGCCTATACTCCATTAATTTGTTAGACTTCAGATTATAGTGCCATTTGTACTCATTGCAGCTGTGTAAGGAACCACCTTCTTAATAGCTTCATTGGCTTTTGTGTTTGTTTATATACATTGCACACTGCTGGTTCCTCACAGGACCGGTATTTACCTTACCATTGCAACTGCAAATGGGCAAATGCAGTAAAATCCCAAAAAAGTTAAAATAATGGATTGTTGTGGCCTCTCCAAGTTACAGTATTTTGAAGTTGGAAAACTAAAACAAATGGCATGAAATGTGGGACAGAAAACATTCAATCCGTAACACACTTTGTGCCTTCATTCAATTAAAATGCCAAAATAATAATAATAATAACAATAAATAGCAGGGCGCCTGTTTATATACCAATTGGACAATACGACGTTGAAAAGTTTTTATCCTGCTCACAAGAGATAGGAAATTAGGCTGTCTTTTCTATTAGTATAATAAGTAGCTTGAATTTGATTAAGAGTAATGCAATTTATCACTCTAGGAGTTTATATCATATTATTATACCGTCCAACTATGGCAAGTGAGCCTTATAAATCACATCAGCAGTAAAAAGTTTTTATCTAGAGGAAGTTTTTATCCTGCTACTCGTCACCTCAGTAGTTGGAGGTTTTAGCCCTTGTATGGGCCTTATTTTTTCAAATTATAATGATAGGTGATGTGCAAGATTCCATCATACCCGAACATAATATCCTGAGGATATTGAATGACATCCCATTGCCATTTTACAATCGATGTGCTCGAGAATTGTCCTCGGAGATGTGTAAGTGCTAGAGGATATCCGGTCGCACGGTTACAACATTCTGTGGTTGACATCCTCGGGAATGGAAGATCCTTAATGGCCCAGATAGTTGCTATTGACCCAATAGGATCCCTATGAACTTAGGACTCTAACTCTAACCAACTATACCAACGCTTGACTTCCACACGGACTCCATCTTCAACACGTCACTACAATGACTAACGATTGCAATATCATTCCAACTTTTCTATCTGACGGGATTATTGGATAAGAACATTCCCCCATTTCAAATCCTACTAGAGGTCTACTACCTACCCCTATAAATACAAATCATTGGGACATTACCCAGGTATGTTTTTCATTATTTCCAATTTATAGCCTCACGTACAAATTTCATTTTTGACTTACGCATCGGAGGGACGATGAGAGCAAACCACGTTGCCTTTGTTTCAGGTAACAGAAGACTATGATTGTGCTCATTGACAGTCCTCAAGCTTGAGAAATCAGCATTGCGGACTTTTGGTAACATCATTGGGGCCGTCTATGGGAAGCGCTACCAAAAGCTATGGTTAACACACGATCAAGTCTTCCTTTTGCAAGCTTATCCATTCCCAACCCTCATCTTCTCGAAGGTTAACCTGCACCTTAAGAAGAGTCATCAGAAATACTCGCGCCCCAGCCAGCAGTCGTTACAACCACAGCTTTTGAAGAGCTCCATCAATAGGTAGCCACGCTAACTCAACTGTCGAGTCAAAGAAATTCGCATTTGTCACCGGTGCAAGCAGGGCATGGTGGTTTTATGGCTGATGCTCGAACCCGAGCACCAAACCTCGCAACTGGTGGAGTAGGTACCTCGGGTATTCGTAACATGGTCTCGGGCTCGAGATCGGTTGCTATGGATTCCGGAGAGATTGCTCGGATCGTTAAGAAGGAATTACAGCTGGCTTGCAACGGAATGCTTAGAGGCCAACGGATTTTATCCCTAACACTCCATTCACCCCAGAGATATTGTCATATCCCCTGCCTGACAGATTCAAATATCCTTGCATTAAAGAGTATGATGGGACGATCGATCCAATCAATCATCTCAATGTATATACTGATGTCATGAATTTGCAAGTTGTGTCGGATCAAGTTATGTGCAAGGGCTTCCCGCAAACGCTGACAAACGTTGCTAGGGATTGGTTCTCAACATTGGAGCCCAACTTCATAGCCTCATTCTCAGATTTGGCTGATAAGTTCTCAGGCTTTTTTGCAAGTAGCAAGCGAATCAAAAAAACTGCGGCCTCTTTCATGCAACTTCGCCAAGGACCCTGCGAGGATTTATGATGAGGTTCAACAAGGAAAGACTTCAAATACCCGACTTGCACATCATAGCGATTGTCTCCGCCCTCACTTATGCCATAAGATATGAAGCCTTCAAGATGTCCTTATCAAAGACCCCGCCACAGACAGTGACCAAGCTCCTTACTCGAGCTGAAAAACACCTTAATATGGAGGAAACGTTGAATCTAAGGAGATCTGGTCCTTCCCACGAAAAGGTCGAGAACAAGAAGCAACGTGATCCCATTTCCCGGCTAGAGAATCCTCAGAAGAAGCGCAAGAATGAAGGCCCACTAGGGCCTCTTACCCGGTTGAACACCTCCAAGGTAAATATCTTAATGGAGATCAAGGATATGAAAGAGTTGAAGTAGCCTTCAATAATGAAGTCACCCCCTGACACAAGAGATAGGAGCAAGTATTGTGAATCGAAATATTTTAGAATAACGTAGAACGTTTGTTCAACTTTGATTAATTCTATTAAAATATCCTAGCCTTTTCAACGGATCACCCCTATACCGCCACCCACTAACGCATGCACCCACCCCACCCCGCACGCGAACCATGTTCAAAGTCACTCCGCTTCGTCCTTCAGAAAATAATTGAAAATGTCCATCTGCTTATATTTCAACACACTCAACTCCCTTCGCCACATATTTCTGCGGATCAAACAGTAATCGACGTCAGCTTCCAATTTTCAATAGCCTTTCGAGAATTTATCTCGATTATTTAGGGTTCTTCTTATGCTTCCAGTACCCATTGATCTGCTTCATTTCGAAAGAATTTTTGGCGGCGAATTATATGAAAACATGTACTTTGGGATTTGAATGCAGTCTAGTTCAGTTGGAAAGATATTGGGCAGTGAAGGACTTTTCTATTTCATATATTTAGTTGGGTACAATTGCTAGCGAGTATAGTTTTTCGAGGGTTTTACTTCAAATGTGCGAAAATTGCACAATTTTTGATATCGGGACTAGTGGAACATAATTGCGTCTATTTAGAGGGTTTAGAGAAAGAGAATTAGGGAAAAATGGGATCTGAGAATAGATTTTACTCTGAAGCAGAATTTAAGTTGGAACCCAAATGGTTGGTCGACCCGAAACTTCTGTTTGTTGGTCCGAAGATTGGAGAAGGTGCTCATGCCAAAGTGTACGAGGGAAAGTAAGTTGACTTTCATTCTTCTGTTTAAATCTTGATCGCAGAGTGGTTTACAATTCAGAAATCTAAGTATTAATTTCAAGCTTTTAAGCGTATATTTAACGCAATCTTTTGATTGATTCCAAGGAACATTTAATTAACACCTCTAAATTGTGCCTTTTCAATGGTTTTATACGATCTCTAAATATCTGTAAAGATTAGCATTTTGAAATTTCTGTAAATGATCAATATTTCAGTTTTTGAAATGAGAGAATTAATGCATTCAGATGCAGATTTCTGCTGTATGAGCCCGGCTTTAGCAGTTTTCTTTCATTGTGAAGCAGGTAGCTAACCTTCTCTTTTCCTGGCCATCTTTTAGATACAAAAACCAGAATGTGGCTATCAAAATTGTTAACAAAGGGGATACATCGGAAGAGGTTGCCAAGAGGGAGGCCAGATTTGCAAGAGAAGTTGCTATGTTATCCAAAGTCCAACACAAGAACATGGTTAAGGTTGTGCATCAATTATCAAACGCGTCGTTTTTCGTTACAGTGTTTAGATGTTCTTCCCAATACACCTATGCATACGAATATGCATACACACATACTTGTGTTGATACTGTATACACATTCATGAATAACGCGTATGCATCTAGAGAAATTAGTGACTTTGTGTAGTAACTGTGAAATATGGCTGCTCCATACAATTTTTCGAATATTTATGCGTATGCTGTGTCTGTTACTTATGGATGTATATACGTTCATATAGACATATTCGTTCTTGCTTATGCATGCTATGATATGCGTACATGTATGCTGGACAATATTCTTTATGTGTGGCTGCTGAATTTCATGACGAACACTACAAGTTTCTTCCAGCATTCTGACACTATTTTTCTCCATAGTTTATTGGGGCTTGCAAGGAACCTGTCATGGTCATTGTTACCGAGCTTCTGCTTGGTGGTACGCTGCGAAAATTTTTGTTGAACATGCGACCGAGGTGTTTAGATATGCGAGTTGCAATTGGATTTGCGCTTGACATAGCTCGTGCAATTGAATGTTTACACTCGCATGGAATCATACATCGTGACCTTAAACCTGGTAAGAGTTTCAATAACTCAAGCGGACCTGAAAGACTACAAAGAGCAAGAAAATAAATAAATGGTGTAGTCAAACCTGCAATAAATGGGTCTAAGACTGGGTAATGACTAAAGTGTGAAATACATTCCAATCGGAAAGGAATTTCATTATACAGAAAAGAAAGATATGCTATTTTTTGTTTGATGATTAAGAAAATATATTCGGATGCATACCATTGTTGTTATATAGTGTTTTGTAGGAAGATGTCCTCTTTAAACTATTTACTATATTTATTCCAGTTGTTGCACAAAAAGTGATTAGCTTATTTTCAGAACTCGGGATTATACAATACTACGGAAATTCTCTCTGTCCTGATTGATGAATTAATTAACCAATAAGGGGAATACAGTTTGCGCATTTTACAATGTATGCAAGGCACCAATATGTGAATGTGATGAAAAAAGCTTGGATTTAGTTGGTTGCGTTGATGTCTGGAGCTGAGATCACATGTCTTGCACTATACTTATGAATTTAGAATCAATTATTATCCTTTTTGGTGAAAAGCTTTTCTCAGTTTCTCACACAAGATCTGTTTTGAAAGAAACATGGAAAATAATATCTGTAGAAAAATTGTCTTCAATAAGTGAGCAAAACTTTTTGTTTACTGATCTTGCTTTCAGACCTGTATCACCTGTTTGACAAACATTTAAAAAAGATTTTTTGGGAAAATGACTTTTGGAATAGTGATTTTTCGGAGAATCTGTGGTTAAAAAGTAGGAAAAATTTGGGTTTTATGTGCAAAATATTTTATTGTGGGAATGTGAGGTTGAAAATGAATTTGAGAAAAGAGTTGAGAAAATGTTGGGGAAGTACAGAATGGATTAAAGATGTGCAACAGTATTGTTGTTTTATGATCCCTGTGTTAATCTTTCCTCTTCACCGAAACTATCTAATCCACTTGTAAATTTTTTTCTTTCCTCCAGAAAACTTGCTCTTGACAGCAGACCACAAAACTGTTAAGCTGGCTGATTTTGGTTTGGCAAGAGAAGAATCATTGACAGAGATGATGACTGCCGAGACTGGAACCTATCGCTGGATGGCTCCAGAAGTAGTTCGATTAACCTTTGTTCTTCTTATTTCTTTTTCTATTTTTGTTTTTTAAATCAACAGGATTGCTGAAAATCTCTTCCTTTTTTGGCTAATGGTTGCAGCTTTATAGTACAGTCACCCTTCGTCATGGAGAGAAGAAACATTATAACAATAAGGTGGACGCTTACAGTTTTGCAATTGTGTTATGGGAGCTCATACATAATAAGTTGCCTTTTGAAGGCATGTCAAATTTGCAGGCGGCCTATGCTGCTGCTTTTAAAGTAATTCCCTTCTCTTAAATTGTTTAATATGTTGGTAGCCTCAAGTCAATAAAATGCGAGTTTTTCAATACATTGGCCTAATAGGTAGAAAAGATGCTAGCCTTGTTTGAGGTTATGTATGAAAGACATCGGAATGAGGATATTCACCACAACGTTGGGGATTCTTCTTGCTACACTGCCCCCGCTTCCATTGCCTGGCTGCCTCATCTCTATTTTTTACCCCCTCACTTGACGATTCTAAAGATAACTTTGTTTATGCAACTGAAAGACTTCATTGAGTTTTTTAAAAAGCCACGGGTATATGGGGCTGTGTATTGTAGTTTGTTATTTGTTACTTCAAATTTGTACCTTCCTTCTCAGAATGTAAGGCCAAACGCTGATGATCTTCCTGAGGATTTGGCTTTAATTGTGACTTCATGCTGGAAAGAAGATCCAAATGAGCGTCCCAACTTCACTCAGATAATACAGATGCTTCTGCATTCTCTCTCAAGAATTTCACCACCAGAACCCGTTGAACCACCCAAGATTTTCACTTCCAAGAATGTCGTCTTCCCACCAGCATCTCCAGGCACAAGCGCTTTGATGGCAGGGAGAGATGACGATGGCGACACACCAATGGAAAACAATTCAAGAGGATTCTTCTCCTGTTTTCACCAGTGCTACTAATCTCTATGCATATTTGTTATATACTGGTCAAGACGGGACAATATTAGTGGGCAAGATTTTAGCTTCCTTTTTCTTAGATAATGGAGTTTAGGTTGCTGTGATGTATTGTAGCTGTAAAATAAGGTCCATCCAAAGGCCTATACTCCATTAATTTGTTAGACTTCAGATTATAGTGCCATTTGTACTCATTGCAGCTGTGTAAGGAACCACCTTCTTAATAGCTTCATTGGCTTTTGTGTTTGTTTATATACATTGCACACTGCTGGTTCCTCACAGGACCGGTATTTACCTTACCATTGCAACTGCAAATGGGCAAATGCAGTAAAATCCCAAAAAAGTTAAAATAATGGATTGTTGTGGCCTCTCCAAGTTACAGTATTTTGAAGTTGGAAAACTAAAACAAATGGCATGAAATGTGGGACAGAAAACATTCAATCCGTAACACACTTTGTGCCTTCATTCAATTAAAATGCCAAAATAATAATAATAATAACAATAAATAGCAGGGCGGCTGTTTATATACCAATTGGACAATACGACGTTGAAAAGTTTTTATCCTGCTCACAAGAGATAGGAAATTAGGCTGTCTTTTCTATTAGTATAATAAATAGCTTGAATTTGATTAAGAGTAATGCAATTTATCACTCTAGGAGTTTATATCATATTATTATACCGTCCAACTATGGCAAGTGAGCCTTATAAATCACATCAGCAGTAAAAAGTTTTTATCTAGAGGAAGTTTTTATCCTGCTACTCGTCACCTCAGTAGTTGGAGGTTTTAGCCCTTGTATGGGCCTTATTTTTTCAAATTATAATGATAGGTGATGTGCAAGATTCCATCATACCCGAACATAATATCCTGAGGATATTGAATGACATCCCATTGCCGTTTTACAATCGATGTGCTCGAGAATTGTCCTCGGAGATGTGTAAGTGCTAGAGGATATCCGGTCACACGGTTACAACATTCTGTGGTTGACATCCTCGGGAATGGAAGATCCTTAATGGCCCAGATAGTTGCTATTGACCCAATAGGATCCCTATGAACTTAGGACTCTAACTCTAACCAACTATACCAACGCTTGACTTCCACAAGGACTCCATCTTCAACACGTCACTACAATGACTAACGATTGCAATATCATTCCAACTTTTCTATCTGACGGGATTATTGGATAAGAACATTCCCCCATTTCAAATCCTACTAGAGGTGTACTACCTACCCCTATAAATACAAATCATTGGGACATTACCCAGATATGTTTTTCATTATTTCCAATTTATAGCCTCACGTACAAATTTCATTTTTGACTTACGCATCGGAGGGACGATGAGAGCAAACCATGTTGCCTTTGTTTTAGGTAACAGAAGACTATGATTGTGCTCATTGACAGTCCTCAAGCTTGAGAAATCAGCATTGCGGACTTTTGGTAACATCATTGGGGCCGTCTGTGGGAAGCGCTACCAAAAGCTATGGTTAACACACGATCAAGTCTTCCTTTTGCAAGCTTATCCATTCCCAACCCTCATCTTCTCGAAGGTTAACCTGCACCTTAAGAAGAGTCATCAGAAATACTCGCGCCCCAGCCAGCAGTCGTTACAACCACAGCTTTTGAAGAGCTCCATCAACAGGTGGCCACGCTAACTCAACTGTCGAGTCAAAGAAATTCGCATTTGTCACCGATGCCAACACATCATGGTGGTTTTATGAACGATGCTCGAGCTTGAGCGTCGAACCCCGCAACTGGCGATGGTAGAGTAGGGACCTCGGGTGTCCGTAACATAGTCTCGGGGCTTGAGATCGGTGACTATGGATTCTGGTGAGATTGCTCGAATTATTTAATAAGGGATCATAACTGGCTTGCTTTGGAATACTTGGGGCCCAACGGTTTTACCCCAAAAATCCCATTTATGCTAGAGATATTGTCATATCCTTTGCCTGACAGATTCAAGTATCCTCGCATTAAAAAATATGATGTGACAATCGAACCGATAAATAACCTCAATGTGTATACCAATGTGATGAATTTACAGGTTGTCCCAGACCAGGTGATGTGTAAGGCCTTCCCGCAAACATTGACTAATGCTTCCATGGATCGGTTATCAACATTAGAACCCAATTCCATAGCCTTATTCTCGAATTTGGCCGATAAGTTCTCTACCTTTTTTGTAAGTAGCAAGCACATCATAAAGACCGCGGTCTCTTTTATGCAACTTCGTTAAGGACCGAATGAAACCCTACGTGATTTTATGATAAGGTTTAATACGAAAAGACTTCAAATACCTGACCTTCACATTACCGTAGTAGTTTCTACCCTCACATATGCCATAAGGTGTGAGGCCTTCAGAATGTCTTTATCAAAGACCCCACCGCAGACAGTGACTGAGCTCTTTACCCGAGCTGAAAAGTACATTAATATGGAGGAAACGCTGAATCCGAGGAGAGCTAGTCCATCTTAAGAAAAGGTCGAGAGCAAAAGGCAACATGATCCCATTACCCGGTAAGAGCATCTTTTCGATAAGCGCAGGAATAAAGTGCCACTAGCACCTCTCACCGGTTGAACACCTCCAAGGCAAATATCTTGATGGAGATCAAGGATATGAAAGAATTGAAGTGGCCTTCAAGATGAAGTCTCCCGCTAACACCACAGATAGGAGAAAATACTGTGAGTTTCACTGGGATCATGGACATACCACGGAGGATTGTAAAGCCTTACAGTGGGAGGTTGAAGCCCTTATTAAAAGATGGTTCTTAAGTAATGGTCATGATAAATGTCCGAGAAATGACTGTGATAAGCGAAAGGAACTCGAGGCTGGAAGCAATGGTCAACCTATGGCTAGGACTATTAATATCATCATTGGAGGCATAGCGTCTAGGGGAGACACAAATAATGGGTAGAAGCAGTATGCTCGACAACATGCTCGTGCTTCATGGAATTCCACGATAAACTTGAGGACATTACTTTTGGGGCAAAGAATTTGGAGGAAGTATCGTATCCTCATGACGATGCCTTGGTTATCTTTGTAATTCTAGCCAACTTTGGAGTAAAGAGGATTCTGATCGACAATGAGATGTAGTAAACATACTCTCGCATGAGGCTTTCACAAAAATGGAAACTTCTCCCAGCTAGCTCAAGGCAGTTAGAACTCCTCTTCTGGGTTTTGGTGGTGAAGTCATTGTCCCGGAAGGAATTGTTGAGCTTCCACTTACATTGGGTTCTGATAAAGCACAAGTGATAGAGATCACACTGTTCTAGGTAGTTAGCATTCCTATGGCATACAACGTCATCCTGGGAAGGCCGCTGCTTAACAAGATCCAAGCCATTGTATCCACTTTCCACCTCGCTATGAAGTTTCCAACAGGTCATGACGTTGAAATGGTATGAGGAGACCAGACATCTGCAAGACAGTGCTATGTTACTAGCATTCGAGGAATAAGCGCCGATGTCATACAACTTTCACTGCCAGACCTCGAGGTCGAGCTCGACCCTAGAGGCAGACTTGCTCCAATTGAGGAATTGGATGTAGTCAAGCTCGAGCACGGGAAAAAAAGTGACAATTGGTCGGGATCTCAACCCTAGCCTCAGGGCAGAAGTCATCGATTGTCTATCCTGCAATATTGATGTTTTTGCATGAAAGGTTGGGGATATGCCAAGAATAGATGCAGAAGTCACGGTCCATAAACTCTACATAAGTCTAGGGGCCAGACCAGTTAAGCAGAGGAAGGGACAGTTTGCACCAGAAAGGCGAGAAGTAATTCAGGAAGAGGTTGGTAAACTCATCAAAGTTGGGTTCATACGGGAGGTCCAATACCCCAATTGGCTAGTGAATGTGGTCTTTGTGAAAAAGGCTAGTGAAAAGTGGAGAGTCTGCTTTGATTTCACAGATCTCAATAATGAATGTCCTAAGGATATCTACCCACTCCTTCGGATTGACAACCTCATGGAAAGTAAATCAGGACATAAATTGTACAGCTTTCTTGATGCATTCTCAAGGTATCATCAGATTCTTATGGCTAAGGAAGACTAGGAGAAGACTTCCTTCGTGGCAGATTCTGCCATATACTATTATCGGGTCATGTCGTTTGGGTTGAAGAACGTTGGGGCAACGTATCAGAGGCTCGTCAACAATGTCTTTGCTAATTTCATTGGGAAGAATATTAAGGCCTACATTGATAACATGGTGGTAAAGAGCAAGAAGATAGAGCAACACACATCTGATCTCGAAGAGGTATTTGCTACCCTACGAAAATACAAGATGAAGCTCAACCCAGATAAGTATTTATTTGGTGTAGCTTCGGGAAAATTTTTGGATTTCATGATCACTCATCGGGAAATTGAGACAAATCCTGATAAGATTCAAGCCTTGGCAGCTATAGAATCACCAAGGAGTAAGAAAGAGGTTCAGAAGTTGATCGGTCGTGTCGCTGCCCTTAACAGGTTTATGTCTCGAGCACCAAACATGTGCTTTCCATTCTTCAAAGCTCTTAGGGATAATCATAGCTTTGAATGGAATGAAGAGTGTGAAAAGGCTTTTTAAGAGTTCAAGCAAACATTGGCATCACCCCCATCCTCACAAGGCCCGAGCCCAAGAAATACTTTGTTTCTACACTTGGCCGTTTCTCAGAATGCCGTGAGTGGAGTGTTGGTGAAAGAGGTTAATAAGATTGAATAGCCTATCTACTATGTGAGCAAGGTTTTGCTTGATATAGAGATAAGGTACACATTGGCCAAACAACTTGCCTTACATCGATAGTAGGGGCACGAAAACTTTGACAATATTTTCAATCCCATCCTATTGTGGTGCTCACTAATCAGCCCCTCAAGCATATACTTCAAAAGTCAAACGTCTCAGGCAGATTGTTGAAGTGGGCAATGACATCGAGTTCAAACCTCGACCATCTATTAAAGCATAGGCCTTAGCTGATCTTATTGCAAAACTCACCTAAGGCTTCGGGGGCCAGAGCATAGCCTGAGCACCGTAGCAGACACATGGTAAATTTTTGTAGACGGAGTGCCAAACTCATTGGGATCGAGTACAGAGATAATTGTGGTAAACTCGGACAAGATCATAGACATTCAGTGCTCACTCAGGTTTGAATTTGAGGGGACCAACAATGAAGTAGACATCATAGCCATGGAACTCGCCATAAATCTTGAACTTCAAAACATCAAAATTTTTAGTGATTCCCAACTAGTGGTTGGACAGATTGAAGGTACATTTGAGAAGAAAGATGAGAAAATGAG